TTTTTTGAGATAGGGTCTCACTGTGTCACCCAAGCTGGATGCAGTGGCACAATCTCAGTTCACTGCAGCTTCAACTTTCCCAGGATCAAGCGATCCTCCTGCCTCATCTTCCCAAGTAGCTGGAACAATAGGCACACACCACCACACCTGGCTAATTTTTGTGTTTTGTAGGGACAGGGTTTTACCATGTTGCCCAGACTGATCTCAAACTCCTGGGCTTAAGCAATTTGCCTGCCTCAGCTTCCCAAAGTGCTGGGATTACAGGTGTGAGCCACTGCACATGGCCAAAAGCCATACTTTATGCAGAAATAGCTAGAAAGCAAACCTAGAGCCTGAACCTCCGAGGAGGAAGATCAGAAATGAATTACACCATCTTTCTACCCCAAGTTCTACAGTGTGAACACTGATTTAGGGAGTCTGTTACTATTGGTTGGAAAGTCTGCCAGATCCCAGAACAGACTGAACCTTTCTTGAATCTGGCTTCAAGAGTTTTTAGTTTCTGAATCATTCATTTTTAGACACTACGGAAATTGTACCTTGAGTAGCAAGGATGAAGGAAAACAGAGGCATCTGAAAGAATCTCACAACAATGGGCTTTATCGTCCTGGTTTTAGGGGTTAGAAGCCAGAAGAGCAAAGATCACTGAGACTTGTCCAAGGTCAAATTGCCTGGAAGGGGCAGATCCAGGACTCAACGGATGGGCCTGACTTGGAAGCCCTTGTCACTGGAACCTGAAGGAAGCTAGGAAGCTTTAAATACGTAGCCATGGTGACGAATGGAAGATACCTCAAGGAAATTCCCATCTGATAACTACTTGAGGACTGGATAAAAATCCAGGCTCAAACTCAACTTTTCAGGTTTCTGAATTCAGCATCACCTCTTTGCCCCTCACCATGATTCTCTTTCTATCTTAGAGGTTCAACCCCCATATCCTCTGTGATTTTCAGTGATTAATATCTTTTATCCAGATTTTGTACCTTTTCCCTTAAACTTCTGGCAAATCCTTTACCCAGTATTTTGTCTTCTTGAAATCCCTTCATTTTTTCACCCCAACCTGACTTCCTAGAGAAATAAGCAGTACTATTAAAGGGATGGATAAAACAATGAAAAGTATCAGAATATCCAGTCTTGGCTTTTAAAATTAGGCTGATTTGGCTGGGCACAGTGGCTCATGCCTGTAATCCCAGCACTTTGGGAGGCCGAGACAGGTGGATCTCCTGAGGTCAGGAGTTCAAGACCAGCCTGGCCAACATGGCAAAACCCTGTCTCTACTAAAAATACAGAAATTAGCAAGGTGTGGTGGCATGCACCTGTCATCCCAGCAGCAAAGGAGGCTGAGGCAGGAGAATTGCTTGAACCCAGGAGGCGGAGGCTGTAGTGAGCCAAGATTGCACCACTGCACTCCACCCTGGGCAACAGAGCAGTCTCCGTATCAAAAAACAAAAAAATAAAATAAAATAAAAAACAAAGAGGCTGATTCCAGAAGCCTGCTTACTTCCAATAAGTGGACTATGGAATTTAAGAGGAACTACCACTTAATACTTAACAGAGGAATGACCCTAAACAGAAGAACTACCTCACCTCTGAACTAAGAATGACCCTTAAGAGAGGAACTACCTTCCACTTCTGAGCTGGGCACTGCACCATTTCCACTGCACTTCTGCAGTTTCTTCAATTATTTAGTCCTGTTCTTTGAGGCCCACTTATGAGTCATGAAATATTTTGGCTCCAAAAACAACATGAAGTGCCTTAAATCTTGACTAAGGTTGTTAAGACCTGGATTTTTCCAAGAATCAAGGGGATTGAAGAAGAGGACAGAGGTTAAGGTCTTTATAGTTTCAGTACAAGCTTAGGGCACAAGTTAAACTTAACTTCAAATAGTGCTGACTCACACAGCCAAGATGGCAGAAGTGCCAGCTGTGTTAAAGAAGAATACTGCTACTTGAGTCTGGGTTTCATTTCCTCCAAAATATTTACTTGGCCTAGGTCTATATAGCTGCTGGAATGACATATCTGCAAATGCTGCGTATGTTTAAAAAATAAGGGTAAGATGTAGAAAGGTACTAGAAAGAGTCAGAAACAGGATTTATCCCTGGGAATCCTCAAAACAAATAAAAGTTTTTCTTTTTTCTTTTTTTTCTCCAGACATCCACTGGGGAGAAAAAGTTTTTAAAAATTAAAAAACTTTTAAAAAAAGAAATAGAATTCATCTGACTTACCTGTGTTTTTTCTAAGCAGTTTCAAAGACTGATTTATGATTCATAAACTAGGTGTAGCTCAAGAGTCTTTAATAGAAGAGAATAAAGCACTGAAGAGTAACACTAGACACTCTCTATAAATCTCCGAACTAAAAACTGTTCATATTTGATAGGTAAAGGAGAATTGACCAAATGATGCAGTACATAGAACCAGCTCCCCTGCTCTGTATCCTGGGAGGGCTGTATCAGGACAGTCATACCCTCACCCTTCCTCCCTTCTCAACACCAGATTTAAAGCAGCACACATGTGGCAAGCCATCACTCAAATCATACAGCTACCATTTCCATGTGGAATCTTGCGACTGGCTCTCCCAAACTGTTCCCACCTCTCCCCCACCATCTTTCAATCTCGTTCTAGTGTCTCTCCAATCTGTGGTCTCCAAACTGTAACTGTATACCACTATCAATGAGAACAATTTTAAGCACACATCTGCAATCTACAGATGTATACTCGATTTTAGGAACCTGTGTTCTCTAAAATAAGTGTGTGGGTTATTTTTTTGTTTGTTTAATCTCAGTCTAACCAAGGACAAAACTACTATTTGTATATAATAAATGCTTGACCAAAAACGTTTAAATAAAGTCTTTAAAAATCCCATTTCCTCATCCAGGTCCCACAGACTGGGCAGTTGAATGGGACAGAATGGAAGTGAACTGCCTGGTAACAGTGCCTGTAACAGGGTAAGTTCAGTTTGGCCATTCGGCCATCATTGCTGAGAGGCAGACTCTGGTGCCTGACGCCTGGGTTTGAAATCTCACTATCTCTGCTACTTACTATATAGCCTCAGGACAAGATAATTAACCTCTCTGGGGATAATAGAGTAGCTGAGCTAAAACAAATACAGATGTTAGATAAGTGTTTGGAACACAGTGATATATATTTATTATTATTACCATATCTGGATTTAGTCCACGAATTTAATCTAGAGGAGCTCCTCCTGGGTAGGTTAGGAAGTTCCCTTCTGACACAAAAGCTGGCCTCTTACCTCAAATATACTCTGTGGATAGAAATTATGTTTCCAGCCAATAGGATGGACTTTTTGTCTCAAAAGTAGAATGCATGAAGACAGAGGCAAACTGCAGGTTGAGAGTACGTTATCGGCTATGCAGTCAGTCACCAGATTAGCTCAGTACTATAAAAGAATGAGGTGAACTGAGAAATCCAAGTAGATGTTCTTTGCTGCCTGTGGCTGCCCTTGGGTAGAACAGTCTCAAAAAACTCTATCATCACATTGACCAACACTACTCCAGCTAGGTTGGTAAATAGTACCTTGCAATCCTTTACCCCTCAGCTTGCTTCTCCATCATAGCAAAGTTCTCAAACTGTACACACTCTTAAGCATCCAAAACAGTCTGAGAAGCACTCTCTTCCACTCCAACCCATTTTTGGTGAATAGAAAAAAAAAAAAAAAATCCCAAACTTCAATCAACAATCTATTGAAAATCAGTGCTAATGTTAAGGCTTTCAATGTCCAGCTTCCACCTGTTTCTTTCAAGGCTGGGTTACATAATCTAGCAGGAAGTAAGTAAAGGGTAGTTAGTACTTATAGCTTCTTCATCCAGGTTTCTGCTGACAAGAGGCTCTTAGACTTCCAGTGTCAATAGAACAAACTCCTCAGCTGTAACCTGCAAACATTATGAAACTAGTTTGCTTAGCCCCATTTCTCACTTAAAGAAATCCCACCCCAGGGAAGGTGGGTGTAGAGTGGAACACAAAAATCTTTTGATGTGGGCGCTAAAGTTTTTACATCATATTTCGCAATTCAAAAGTAAATTAAAAATCTGCAGCTGAAACCCTCCTTCCCTTTAAAAACTTCTTCCTATGGGTGTACTCCTGCTTTTACAAATGAATAGAATAATTTCTGGATTTATTTTCCTTCTTTTTTTGGAAACCTAAAGTGGCTCACAAAGATCCACGTTTCCTACCACTTACTGGGTGTGAGATCGTGGGAAAGTTACTCTATGTGCTTCACTTTCCTCATCTGCAAGGTAGCTTGTGAGGATGGAATGAGTTATTAAAATTAAGAGTGTCTTCATCCACACGCTGGCCACTAAGTTTAATGGAGGGAAAGGCAGTAATTGGAAGTGATAATAGCTTTCAAGTGCCAGTCTCCTATATCAATGAATAGTATTTAAGTGTTAATAGGCCAGCAGTCTATTCCTTAATCAATCCTGTCCCCTAATCCCCAACTTTGCTTTTGCCTCAACATGAATTTTTATGACATAGGGGGAAAAGTATATATTTCATCTATGTTTTCAACACGTTTCATCGAGCAGTTACTATTACCCGAGCACTAGATATAAAGCAGTAAACTTACGAAATTGCCTTTGCAAAAATCATAACTGAGGAAATTATGTCAGGAAAAGAAATCAGACCTAACCTACTCCATCTTCCTTCTAACCTCGAAACTGTCTTTGTTCATTCCTGGGTGTAGGCTGAATTAGCTTTGCAGAGGAATTTATAGTTTAAACTCTGAAAGGGAATGGATAATAGCCCTTTCCTGAAAAACCCCTTCTTGCCTGGGGACAAGTCTACCTTTGCAGGACTAACAGATTAGCTACAAGGATAGATATCGCGATTTAGGGGCCGTGCAACCTCTGGCTGCAAGAGTCTGAACATCCCCAAACTGCTCCTGGTAATAGTATCACTATCGTAAAACCTAAGGTCAGGGCTTGAGATACTTTGCAGACCCTGCATTCCGATGCAGCAAATGACACCACCCAGAAGTCAGCAAGAAAAGACTTCGACCCCTTATGATTTTATCTTCAACCCAACCAATCAGCACCCCCCACTTTCCGAGCCCATACTCGCCAAATTATCCTTAAAAACTCTATCGAAAGTCATATTATAAAAGGTTTGCTTTCTTTATAATCGTTAAGTGTTTGGAAGATAATTTTTGAATCATGAAGTCAGCATAACTTCATTTGACTTCTCAATAATCTTGATACTAGAAGCAATAAAAGAACCATTATAAAAAATAAAATAAAATAAAAAACTCTGATCCCCGAATGCTCGGGGAGACTGATTTGAGTAACAATAAAACTCCGGTCTCCCTCACAGCCAGCTCTGCGTTTATTACTCTTTTTGCCATTGCAAATCCCCTGTCTTGATAAATCGGCTTTGTCAAGGCAGTGAGCAAGGTGAACCTACTGGGCAGTCACACTTACTCTGGTTTCCCATTCTGCTGCGTGACTTTAGGTAGGCTACCCAACATCCCTGGAATTCAATGATTCACTATATGATCTCAGTGCTTCCTTTCCATTCACAGATCTTACAAATCAGTTTCATGTCTCTTTCATTGATAGTTGCATCTCTCCACCTCCATCTCTGAACAAAATTGCTCAGGTTCTGTTCCAACAATTCTATAGACTCGACTCAATGAAGGCACTCAGAATTTCTACCACTGTTGTATTTTCCAACAAAGATTCCAACCACAGCGGCGAGAGGGAGTTATGTGTCACAAGCTGTGATTAGAGACACAATGAAATTTATACAAGGAAAAACTGATTAAGAATCACAAGATTCCATAGCTAGCCCAAAGGAAGTGCTATTTATAACAATAAATGATGAAAACGGGAAATTGACTTTTGACTTGTCAGCAAAAGGTAAATTAAAAGAAAAGCAAAGGGAGTTGGAAGGTGGAGGTGGGATTCCAAGATGCAAAGCATAAATAAAAAGAAGTTCTGTGCGCCACTCCTCCACCGGCGCTGGATACAGCCCTTCTGTTGTCTGCCCTACAAACTTTAGGAAACTGCAGCAAAAGGCCCCCCTCCCGGAGTTTCAGAAACTCCAAAACACGTGTTCTAAGGAAAGAGACAAAGTTTCTTTGACCTCTTGTGTGGTCCGGTTTCATGAAGGCCGGCGCCTTCTTCCCCCACCCAGCCCACTCCAGTTAGGGTCCAAGGCTGAGCCTGGCCACCCGAGGAACCCGCCCAACCCAGCCCGGGGGGTCTCAGCGCGAGGGTCCGACTGGGGCTTCCGCAGAGGGCGCGGGAACCTCGGGGCGGGCCCGGGGCTCACCGCAGTCCTTGAACTGCACTGGTTCGGCCTGAGCGGCTGCGCTGAACGCCAGGAGCAGGAATGTAGCGGCCAGGAAACTCATCGCGGCTAACGAAGTTCCAAGCTGTCGGGAAAGAAGCGGCAGCCGCCCGCGGTCACAAGACAAACCTGTGGGGGCGGGCCCGGGGAGGGGCCTAGTCAGGCGACCTGTCACCAGTAACTGTGGCTGAAGCCAGCCCGCGCCACGCCTCCGGCTCGGGGGAGCCAGCTCCGGCCCAGTCGGGCCCAGAAGCCAGCAATCTCCGCCCATGCCATCCCCTCAGAGGCCAGGTCCGCCGGGACCCACCTGCGCCCCGCCCCGCCTCGCTCCTCCCCGGCCCGGTCCTTCCCTTTAGAGCTCCTCCCCGACTTTATGGGTGCGTCCCCGCTGCCGCCGTCGGGAGAATTTCTAGCCAATCAGACACCTTCTCCTTCCTCAGTACCCAATAGGCATGTTGGGGGCGGGGCCTCCGTCAGGTCCCGGCCGCCTGTTAGTTCTCCCCGCCTCTCGAGGCCCCGAGTGAGAAACAGGGCAGACGCGAGGGGCGGAGCTTGTAGAGGAAGATGGCTGCTGCTCCAGGGTTGTCTCTAACGGCCGCGACGCAGAGAGCGGTCACTCACTGGCCGAAGGGCAGGTACCAAGACTAGAAAGGCACCTGGAAAGGGTGTTTGCTTCTGCACCTGTAGGACAAATGGGAAACTAAGGCCTGTGGGAGAGGTGAGGGTTTTGTGGGAGGCCGTCCAGGTTGGGGTCGCCAGGCTTAGCGTTAGGCGCTCCAGGTCGAGGGTGGCCAGGTGCTTCTGCCCCCGGGCTCACCCTCCTCCCTTGCGCGCAGGCTCCTTGCGGCCTCCCTGGGACTCCGGGCGCGTAGGGAAGCGTTGTCCTCCAGCCCCGAGGCCGGCGAAGGACAGATCCGCCTCACGGACAGCTGCGTCCAGGTAGGAGGCCGGGCGCGGGGCGGCGATAGCCAGGCGATTGGCCGGAGCAGCGGGAACTGCTCTTCACCCAGCCCTTTAACTCCCCTTGCCCGGCATTCTTGATCCCCCTTCCTGCATTTCAGAGGCTTTTGGAAATCACCGAAGGGTCAGAATTCCTCAGGCTGCAGGTGGAGGGAGGTGGATGCTCCGGATTCCAATACAAATTTTCACTGGATACAGTTATCAACCCCGACGACAGGCAAGGAGGAAGGGGTGGGTCCCCAAAGGAGGTACGGGAGGGATAAAAGTGTCTCCTATTTAAGGTGCACTTTTATTACAAATTTAAAGGATTTACCTGGAATGGTTAACACCGCCTGTCTCGCAGTGAGGATGCAGTAAAGGTTTGTTGTCCTAAATCAAAATAACTAAGTTATAGGAGGAAAATTGGCCTGCCCAGGTCCAATGGGTAGTCAGTGGAAAGTCAGGCCAGGCTAGATTCCAGGCCTAAGTCCCTGAACGGTTCCCAGTATCTATTCCATTGAATCATTTTGCTTCAAAGAAAATCAGCACCTGTTAGAGATAATTGGGAAGCTCCCTCTGTACTTTAGAAACAGATGATGTGCACCTCTGGGCTCAGGGGTGACTTTTTTGGTGTTTGTAATACTCATTAATGCCTTCCTCTTGTCTTTTCAGGGTATTTGAACAGGGTGGGGCAAGAGTGGTGGTTGACTCTGATAGCTTGGCCTTCGTGAAAGGGGCCCAGGTGGACTTCAGCCAAGAACTGATCCGAAGCTCATTTCAAGTGTTGAACAATCCTCAGGCACAGCAAGGCTGCTCCTGTGGGTCATCCTTCTCTGTGAAACTTTGATGCTATGACAGGTGACCCTGAGATTGTCACCAGTTGTACCAATTTGAGGAACTTGGAATTAGTAGAATTCTACAGGTTTCCTTCTAATCATGCCCCTCTCAATTTTATTTCCCTGCAGTCCAGGAAAGTTGTGTTTTGCCACTGTTATTTTCAAAACGTGAAGATTTTACCCTTGGCTTAATTTTCCCCTCCAATCCCTCTCAGTGCTAAGGCTGAGCCTCAGATGCTGTTACCTCAGATTTAATCACTGGTTGAAACTCCATGTAATCTGTAGAGCCTCTTCGGCTCTAAAATTTGGAATTAACTTCTCTGGCTTTAAGAGCTGCTTGTACATATGTGGATAGCTATGTATAAAAGCTTTATTTTAAAGTCCTTATTGTGTTGTGGATCAGGGTCACAGATTGGGTAGTGTGGACACCAGTTATTAGAGGATGAGAAAGGTAAATGTTCTCTTTTTCATTCCACCCTGCCAGAATGTGCCACTTGACTTATCTTTATTGTCTGTGCAGCCCATTCACCACTTCCTATTTGATAGGACAGATACATTTTACTCTCATACTCATGGATCTGCTAGGAGTCATAAAACCAAGGGCACATTACCCAGAAAACTTGGACCAAACCCTCACTACTACTGAATTATTTCAAAAGTAGCCTCCCTACCCATAACAGACTTTTTAAGATTCTATGGCAATTTAATGACTGAATCTTTTTAGGATATGTTGCTTTACCTGCCTTCTGTTGTAAAATGGCTCTGGGATCATGCACAGCAAGAAGTGATCCCTTTATTGTTATAGGTAATAGATTCTTAGGAACCTTTTTTTAGATTGGGTTACCAGATGAAATGTAGGATGCCCAGTTACATTTGAATTTCAGGTAAACAATTTCTAAGTATGAGTATGTCTCAAATATTGCATATATTAAAAATTATTTATTTGAAATTCAAATTTAGGCATCCTGTATTTTTATTTGCTGACCTTGGCAACCCTACTTTAAGGTCACCAAACAGAAACTTAAAATCACAAATTCTTGTGAATTAAAGTACTTGTGTAGGTGTGGCACTTAAATGGGCTTTGGAGCTTGAAATAATCCTATTAACAGTGCAGCGGAGATGTGGGGACAGACAATGAAAGAAAAAGAACCCACTGCCATCACCACACTGAATGATTTATTAATACTGATGTTGGAGAAACTACAACCAAGTTGATTCTGGAAGAGTTATTGGTTAAATCCAACTTTTGCTTGGGAGCCTAGAACTGTGTTATAGCAAAGACTTGCACTTCTGCACTGGTTTGGAATTAAGGTTATTTAGTAAGAATTTACTATGAAAAAATGGAAATAGAGTTTAGGAAATATCTGAGGCAGAAACTTAGATACATTTCCAACATGGCAAAACCTAGGATTTAGAGAAAACAAACCTATCATGCTGTTAGAGGAAAGAAGGGGACACTCAGAAACCTGAGCACATTTCTTAGTGCCCATGGAAGGAGCAGAAAGCAGCGTACCATGAGAGCATCTTTGTACACACATGACCAAGATGGTACCGCCAATACCTGCACCTGATAAGGTTTTCAGTTTGGACTACCTGTTTTTTCATCCCGCTTTAAAAAATTTTGTTACATTTTAAACATTAGAACCTATTCTTTCAGAATATTTTTGTGGGTTATTCATTGATTTGGTGGTTTTAAAACTCTTGAGCACAAGCAGAACAGCTTCTGTTGCTAAATCAGTCAATCAAATTACAGTGGTCCACTAGACAGAAACAGGGTCCCTTAGGATACAGAAGCTTATATGTGAGTATCTACTGTTAATGAGAGAATTGGAATTTTATGTTTAGAAAAACTCAGATTTGGGGACGGATGCGGTGGCTTCTGCCTGTAATCCCAGCACTTTGGGAGGCCAAGGTGGGCGTATACCCGAAGTCAGGAGTTCGAGACCAGCCTGGCCAACATGATGAAACCCCATCTCTACTAAAAATACAAAAATTAGCCAGGTGTCAGGTGCCTGTAATCCCAGCTACTCAGGAGACTGAGGCAGGAGAATCACTTAAACCTGGGAGGCAGAGGTTGCAGTGAGTCAAGATTGCACCACTGCACTTCAGCCTGGGCAGCAGAGTGAGACTCCGGCTCAAAAAAAAAAAAAAAAAAAAAAAAAAAAGGCAGATTTGGGAAAAATCATGTTACTTCACACTGAGAAAGCTTCATGGGGAAACCAGAAGTGACAGCAAGAAGTTTCCGTTGGAAAGTGGTGACTTAACACAGGACATGGGGGAATGATAGCATCAAGGGGCCATGGGCAGTTTGTTTGGAATAAGTAGGACACATGGTAAAATGAGTTGGGGTTCTACTGCAGGCCCTTTCTGACCAGATGCCCTCTTCTTGGTGGCCTGTAAAAGCCAGTGGTCATTTTCACAAATTTTGCTCACTGCACATTCATTTAGGAAAACTTTGTACTCTTCCAGTTTCAATTGGGACATCTTACACCTTCCCGTTCTTTGGAGGGGAGGTTGTCCAGGCCTATTTGTTGCAGAATTGGCGCTAACGTTTTACGCAAGCCAGTGCTGAGGCATAAGAACCAGTCAAGGGAGCTCTGAATCTGCTTTATGTTGTGAATCAACTTTATATTGTTTTTCAAAGAGAAGGTCTCCTTGTCAATGTCCAGATCTTATTGTGGTATCATACTTCAGTTATGTGATGACAGTGACCAATGATATATAAATTATGTGTCCCATCCACTCTTAGTTTTTTTTTTTTTTTTTTTTTTTTTGAGACAGGGTCTCACTCTGTTTCCTAGGTGGGAGTGCAGAGGTGCAGCCTCTACCTCCCAGGCGCAAATGATCCTCCCACCTCAGCCCCTGAAAATAGCTGGGACTACAGGTTCACACCACCAATAAGGCTAATTTTTGTGTTTTTTGTAGAGATGGGGTTTTGCCATGTTGCACAAGAGTCTTGAACTCTTGTGCTTAAACAATCCTCCCCCCTCAGCCTCCCAAAGTGCCAGGATTACAAGTGCGAGCCACCACGCCTGGCTCATCCGTAGTTTCTTTGTGTGGGAATGTTGACTGGTTACAAGAGATAGGAAAAGAAATTCAGAAGTAGGCCGGGCGCGGTGGCTCAAGCCTGTAATCCCAGCACTTTGGGAGGCCGAGGCGGGTGGATCACGAGGTCAAGAGATTGAGACCATCCTGGTCAACACGGTGAAACTCCGTCTCTACTAAAAATACAAAACATTAGCTGGGCATGGTGGTGCGTGCCTGTAATCCCAGCTACGCAGGAAGCTGAGGCAGGAGAATTGCCTGAACCCAGGAGGCGGAGGTTGTGGTGAGCCGAGATCGCGCCATTGCACTCCAGCCTGGGTAACAAGAGCGAAACTCCGTCTCAAAAAAAAAAAAAAAAAAAAAGAAATTCAGAAGTTAGTGAATAGGAAGGACTACTAAAGTAGGTGTTCAGGAAGAGCTTCTTTCTGTAACTTCTGAGAATCAAGCTCTGTTCATTTGTCATTTGTTATGAAGCATTAGAGTATAGTGGTGGCATTTGGCAGGATCAGCCTGGTATAGGGAAGTGGGCAGCACTGATCCTGATGGTACAGCTCTCCCTTGAAATCTGGACATCAGCTAATGGTGTGCAGTGGGCCTTGGGCAGGGCCTAACACTGTTCACTGCATGTTTATCTGAAAGGAAGGAATCTCTTCTGTTTTTCTTCATATCTAGCATTGATGTGTATGATTGCTCTTTTAAAATCCCTATTTGCAGTTCTTCATAAAAATGCCACAGGGCTGCCTAACAAATTTGCGTTAAGGAATTTGGACATAATTAGCATCTGGCTTTAATTGTAAATTTTAGTCAGATAAATATATAGAGGGAGCATTTAAGCAATCAGTGGCCAGCAACTGTATTTAAAAATATTTTATTGTTTTTTTGAATAGGTGATACATAGTACAAAATTCAAAAAAATACAAAAGGAGATACAGTGTAAAGTCTCCCAATCCTGTACCTGTCCACCCTGTCACCCTCCCCGCAAACCACCGTTGTTTCTAAGAATTTATCCTGCCGATATAATCCCATAAATTAATGTGAAATATGCACAAGAATATTCATTGCAGCATTATTTATAGCAAAAGACAGGAAACAATGGAAATGTCTGTCAGTGAGGGACTGATTAAATAAATTATGGTTTATCCATTCAGTAGAATAGTAGATGGCTATAAAATGGAATGAGGCAGCTCTACTTGCAAGTATAAAGCCAAAAAAAAAAAAAAAAAAGAAACCAGCAAAGTGCAGAACAGCATTCACTGTAGGCTATTTGTGTTTTAAACAAAGGAAATATGTATATATGTATGCAGTATCTCAGGGTTGGGCAGGAAGGCGAAGCTTGGAGTGTTGCAGGGTTGGTGGGAACAGCAGTTAAGGTATAGTGCCAGCAGGATATATTTGGGGGATGGTAAGATGTTCTCTGAATGGTAAGGTATAAAGTGGAGTGGCAAGGATTAACAGACAACCACTTCTCTTTACACGCTGTTATGTAGCCTCCCTTTTTCCCTCGATTTGTTTTGGATATCTTTCTTAACAAGGCATTTAGAGATACCTTTTTTAAGGGTTTCATAGCAATTAATTGTTTCTAATTTTTTGCTATTACAAATGATGCAGTAATAACTTCTTACATATGTCATTTCATATCTGGTAAAAATAGATCTGAAGATCAAGTTCCTAGAATTGGAATTACTGGATCAAAGAGTTAGTGCTTTTATAATTTTGAAGGACATTTCCATACCATCCTCTTCAATATGTACTTCTATCAGCTATTATGAGAGTGTCTATTTCCCCACATGCTTGCCAACTAGCAGTCTTAACAAGCTTTCTGATCTTTACCAATCTCACAATTTCAAAAATGCATCTCAGTATGGTTTTAAGTTGCATTTCTTTTATTATGAGTGAAAGAATATTTTCACATGCATAAGAGTGATTTATTTTTGTCTGCTGAAAACATCTCAATTAATATAGGAACCTAGAGAAAATTAAGCTTTCTATGTCTCAGTTTCCTCTCCTGTAAATTGAGAATAAACAATGGTAAGTAGGATCATTGGATAATTAAATGAAATGTATGTATAACACTCAGCACAGTGCCTGGCACATAGCAAGCATTCAATAAGTTATGTGAGGCTAACAATCAGAAGAGCAGGTAGGACAAGGCAGATTAAATTAAGAAAGTAGCATTCACTTCTATGCTCCAGTCACATGGAGCCTTGTTTGTTTGCATTGCCATTCATCAGAGAAGTGCAAAGTCAGAGCTTTCCTTGTCTTTCAATATTAAAGAGTCTTTTCCCTTTGGAACCCATCATAGGCTATCAGCAGAGCTGGCCAGGGAGTAGGCACAGCCTAATCTCTAACATTTAGACTTAGCCAACATGGTAAAGATATTTGGTCTGATATGAAATAAAAACAAGAACAGAAGAGACCATATGTACATTTCTTTATTCCACCATGGTTCTGAACTCCCAGCTAGCTTGGGTTGGAGTGAGTCTCTGCTTGTAAACTCAGAGGATTGCCTGCCGTCGTTTTCGGAAGGGAAGAGGGCAGGTGCTTCTGAGTAGAGGGGAAAAACAACATTGGAAATCTGGCTTCTTCTGAAGAAGACCATACCAAATAGTAGACTTTTTACTTTTAGAACATCAAACTGGTTTTCACAAAAGGAGAGTCTAGAAGAGGTTTGTTTCCTGTAAGAAGCACTGTTTATGTAATAGAGGTCATTGTAGATGGGTACGCGATCCCATGGCAGCCCTTGCTGCTGGTGCACACGGGCTATCACTGGGTGTATTTTGAATGTTAGCTACTGAATATTTTCTTTAGACATATGAAGGCTTGGCTCCCCTTTCTCATCAACTCCACAAACTTTTCATCATGTCCTCTTGCTGCTTTCTCAGGCTCTTTGTTCTTCTTCATTTGTGTCTCTTACACTCAACAAGCTACTATCAGTCTTGTGTCTCTGAGTGAAGGGATCTTCTGCCACTCCTTGGGGCCAGAGAATGGGCTACAGGATGGAGGTGTGGCAAAATCAGGGCCCAGAACAGATTGGCTGAGTGGTAGTGATGGTTCTTGGGAGGAGCACTGGAGTCAGTCCCCAAGATTCCCCAAATCCTTTCTTGCTCCACAGATTCTGAAGGACCTTCACAGAGCAGATGTAGCCTCTGTCCTAGTTGTGGGATCATCAGGATGATGGTGGATAGTGGCTGGAAAGGGGTGTCTGCAGTGTGAGGCCATGGGGCCTTTCATGCTTGCACAGCTTGGGAGGGTGGATGAAAGCCATCCTTTGGTAAGCATCCCATAGCAAGGCCAGGACAGGTGGTGGACAGGGCCTCATGCAGTGGCTGAAGCATTAAAGCGATTGGTGGTGCTTGAGCCAAGCAAGGGCACAGAGGCAGTGACCGAAGCTCACAGCCAGAGGCTAAGCTGGGAGAGATGAAAGCAGGCAAGGCTGATTGGTAACCTCTGGCCTGACGACGCCTGTCTTCCCAGCTAGGAAATCAGCCTCAAGGCCCCTGCCTGTGACTGGAGGCCGTTTCCAGATAGTTGCCACACTGACCCCTGACTGCTACTCCTTGGCAGTGCAGTGGGGGGGGCCTGCCTCGGCCACATAACCCGGGGAGCAGTGGCAGCGGTAGGAGCCCTCTGTGTTCTCGCAGTAACCATGGGCACAGAGCACAGCAGGCCCATTCAAGTCATCACACTCATTCACATCTAAGAGGAAGCAAAGGAGAGAGGAGCTATAGGGAGCCCAAGTGCCTCTGCTGGCTGCCTCCACCCCTCTGGTTACTAAGCCCTGGCCCCTGCCCTGGAGTGAAATCCTAGTGTGACAGCCAGAGGCTGAAGTCACTTCCCAAAACCAAGCAACTCAAGGACAAAGCAGAGGGCCGCGAGCTCATACCGTGCCCAAGACCATGCTTTCTTGTCCTTGTCTTTTGTCTGGGAACCTGCATGGAAGGGGCTTTCTAAGGCACAGAATTAGACCTTTCTTTGGCGCTTTCTTCCATCCCAGCCTGACGCAGACAGCCCCACTAGGAGGCAGCAGTGGCTCTTCCAGCCCTCCTGAGTTCAGACATCCCTGTGGGCAGTGGGCCAGCCTGACTCCTCCATCAGAATTCTCCACTCACCCACGCAGGCCATGTGGGCCGCATCCAGCTGGAAGCCCTCAAAACAGTCGCAGGTGTAGCCCTCCCGCACACGCACACAGCGACCATTCTCACAGCCGTTCAGGATGCCGCACTCCTCCGCCTGAAGCCCTTCGAAGCCAGCTGGGGGCTCTGGGAGGAGGGAATCAGACAGAGAAGGAGGCTGAGGCCTGTGTCCAGACTCCTTGCCCTCCTGGAAGGAGGGTGCAAAGGGTGCCCCATGGGACTTTGGGGGTGGGGGCAGAGAGGATCATAAAATTCCCATGGAAAGATGCTAAAACAAAAGGCAGTGCTCTTGAAAACAAAAAAAGTATGTCATTTTAGATGGGGAGAGGTGCTCTGGACTTTAAATGAGGGCTCCAGGAAGGGTGAGACTTGCTGCTTCCACAATGCCCAGCTCCTGACGGGGTTTGGGGGGTGGGGGAATGTTTTTGGGTTTGGGTGTGGGGGTGGGGTGAGGTATTTTGTTTAAATCTTCACATCGTGTTTTTGGGAGTGGGGAACAATTGGTAGCAAAGGGGCCTCGTTCAACACAAAGCAAAACGTCTACCAGATCTGCCTAACCCTCCTCTCTCTAAGCACCCCTCCACCCCATGGAAAAGGCCCCATCCTGCTCGGTGGTGTGGTCTTAGGCTGCTATGGTAGCTGTGCTTGTGGTGGGTACTTTGTGCACGGCACAGTGCTAGGCCTGACTTCCTCATTAGAATCCACGGCCTGAGTGCTGGGATGGCACCATTCACAAACCGAGTCATCACAGTGGGCCTTTAGAGTCCTTGGAAAACCTGAATCCACATTTCAGGTCACAAGTGTGAATGCTGGGTGTCCTTAGAGCAGGTTATTCTGCAGCCTGTAGGTGGCGTGGAGGGAGGAAAAGACTGCAGTGAACCGCTTTCTCTCGCTCTGTCCCCACAGGAAGCTTGTAGGTTAGGACAGGGGCAGTGTCCTGTACCTTTTGTGCCCCTGTGCTAGTTTATGACAGAGTTGTTAGGGTCGGACCTGGGCGTGTACCTTTTGTGCCCCTGTGCTAGTTTATGACAGAGTTGTTAGGGTCGGACCTGGGCGTATGTACTTGTCTTGATGAACCATGAACGGGGACCTCTGGCTTGGTGTGTCTTTCCCCTTCCCAGTCCTCATCCTGCTGGCAAAATGACTAGCAGGTGGAGGAGGTGGAAGCGAAACAGCTTTGGTGCCCACCTCTTCCCCATTTTTGCAGCAACACAGACCTGGATGGCTGGCCACATAGTGGGGCTGGAGTTCTGAGGGCTGCAAGGGAGACTCAAGGATGGGTGTGCGGTCCCCTGGGTGGTCGGCTGTGTTGGGGAAGGGAGGTTCAGGGACGGTGTCCTCGGGACCCAGGTAGTTGTAGAAGGGGGCCCCATCTGGGCCATAGATGCTGTAGTGCAGGTCGTCAGGGCCAGGGCCATACTCATAGCCTGGCCGGAAGTGGACCCCAGCCTCCCGCTCCGCCTCGATGCGAGCCACGTTGCACAGCTGAGCATAGACCTCTGTCAGGGAGGAGGGAGAGAGGGAGCTGGGTTCCAGCTCCTGCCAGCTAAAGCCTGGTTGGCTTTGTCTCTGGGAGCACGCAGGGACTGGCACCCTCTGGGAGATCCTGGCAGCATTCCTCTCCCCACCTCTCCCCTGCCCTACTTTGTCTCCAAACAGCAGGATAGAAGACAGGGTCTGATTGCTCTGCTCCTTTCTAGATCCCCCCTTCCAGGGTGAGGGCCTCCTCCTCCCTGGGGCCTGGCCCAAACCTGTAGGGGTCTCCCCTTTGCTCCCCCTCACCAGAGCTCCTGGGGGGACACAGGGCACACTGCTGGCTCCAGGCCTCGCCATCCTGGCAGCAGCATTCTGTGTAGGTGGTACGATGCCCATGCAGGGGTTCGCTGCATACGTCATTGGTGACTTTTTTCCAGCACACGTCCATGTGGATATCATGGTCAGGGAGGTCCTCTGGTGGCACAGGGCACGGAGGCACATGAGCCCCCCAGCCCAGATCCCCTTCTCCTGCTGCCCCATGCTCAGGCCCACTCACCCGTGCTGCTGGAGCTGTTCATGCAGCGCTGTTGGCTGAGGTCCAGGGTGAGCGGGGGGCTGCAGAAGCAGTGGAAGGAGCCCTCCGTGTTGACGCACTCGCCATTCTCACAGGCCAGGTCCTGGCACTCATCGTGATCTGGAGTGGCAAGAAGGGGTGGGGCAATGCCAAGGTGGCCTTGTCTACCAGCCATCCTCAGGGAAGGGGGATTTCCTATCACTGATGATAATGAAGAGTTAGTGCCCTGCCTCCCTCTCCCCAACCCAACCCAGCCTGGAAGGCCCCTCCCTGGGGACAATCTCTGATAGCCCAGAGCTTCTTCACCTGGGATTGGCCTGTGCAGTGGGTGGCCTCCCCAGAAAGGGGGACTCCCAGCAAGAATGGGACTGGCTGGGTTGGCCATTATTCAGCTGTGGGCCTGGGGTGTGAGCAGAGATCATGTGTGTCCTCACCCTCACACTTCCTGTGGGAAGCATCGTAGTGGAAGCCAGGATTGCACAGGCAGACGTAGCCAGGCACAGTGTTGAGGCACTGCCCATTGGGGCAGAGACCAGGCCCGAAGATCACACACTCATCCGCATCTGTGGAAGGGCAGAGCTGAGGTGAGAGGGAGGTGAGAGGCAGTATGAGGGGTACCTAGAGCAGGGGATCCAAAGCGAGGCTGGGTTTCAGTCGCAGCTCTGCCACTTACTAGCTGGGTGGCTTCAGGCAAGTTGCTTAAGTTCGCCTTGCCTCCAGTTCCTATGTGCTTCTTTTTTTTTTTTTTTTACTTTATTTTTTTTTTTACTTTTATTTTTATTTTTTTAAATTTATTTTTATATTTTATTAAAAAAATTTTTTTTAACCTATGTGTCCAAGGCATGAACCAGGCATAGGCACAGATCAAAAGCCAAGCTGGGATGAACAAGGGGTTGCTTTGTCCCTGGCTGGTATGAGATGGGCACCACCAACCAGATGCCACTCTACCCAGATCAGGGATACCTATGTGCTCCTTAACCTCTTAGAGTTGTTACAAGGATGAAAAGGTGCTAATATCTGTGAGGTGCTCAAAACTGTGTGGCGCATAGCCAGCACCCAGCTAAAGCGACCTCTGTTTCTATCATTTCCTTCTCAGGACTAGCTTAAGGACTAGGGCTCTGAGCAGCGCAGTACCTAGACCATCCCACTGTGAGTGTGGGGTCCCCAGTTTCCAGCCTCATTGGTGCAGCCAGGGAGATGAGCACGGCCTCTGGCCGCTAGAGCTGCGCTCTCCACTCTGTCCCTGTGCCCACATGTGGCTGGGGGTGAGAGTTAGTCAAGGCATCTTAGTTTGTTTCTGGAGGTGCAGCCTTGGGGGAGCAGGGAAACTGAGGTGAGGCTCATGTGGACATTCCACAAGCAGCTTGGGTCAGAACTTCCAGCTAACACTCTGTAGGGAGTCAGCCCTGGGACAGAAAAGGTGGAGGCCACCTGAGAAGCCTGGGCTGGATGCAGAACTTCCCCAGGGACCCCGTGGAGGAGCAGGCTGGGGCCCAATCAGGTGAATGGAGTTTGGGGCGGAGGATGGTGCAGGAGGTTACCTGTGTACATGGTCTGTCCAAATGTCCAGGCTCCTTCCACAGGAATGTAGCCTTTACCACTAGGGCAGATCTCGCTGAATTCAGCTATGTAGAGAGGCATTTCAGCTCAGAGTGGAGAGGGTCCTATCCCCTTCCTCTCTCCCCTCTTTCAGTGTCACCTTGCTTAGCTGACCCTTTGAGGATCTGGAACCCTTGGGGCCTTACCTGAGTCCTCAGACGGGCAGAGGTCACAGGCGTCTCCCCAGCTGGCGCCCTGGGTGCAGCAGCATTCAGCCTTTGTGGTGTTCCGGCCCAGGACGCTGGAGCAGGGTGCATGGCTGTTCTGCCCAGAGTAGCAGTCCATGCGGATGGGGGCTGGGGCATAGTTTCCTGTTGGGGCCTCAGGGATACTCTGACCTGTGCATGACAGATGCTCATTACTGTCTGTTCATGGTCCTTTGAAGGGATCAATAGCCCTTGACTTTCTTTCTCAGATTTAACATTTGTGTAGCACTTTACAGTGGAAAAATGCTATTACCTGTATTACCTCACTGATGCTCTTGACAACCCTAAGAAGTGGCTTAATCATCATCTCCCTTTTACAGACGAAGAAACCGGGGCCTCGCTACCACTGTGCAGCTATGTAGCAGTGCAGCAGGGACCTGACCCCAGTTCCTCCTCACCAAAGCACTTGCTCTTTGTGGGACACCACCCTGCCTGCCTCCCTGTAATGGATGGCCTCCAGTCCCTGGCATGCCATATGGGCAGCCTGCTAGTCCATTCTGCCCCACATGTACCCCAGCCCCTTCCACCCTCCTTGTCTCCCTCATTTTCCCCCAAGGCGGTGAAGGCCTGCTGAGTCCTAGTCCAGTCTTGGGTGAGAGGCTGAACCCAGCAGCTCTGGGGTGGAGCGGGAAGTGGGAAGGGGAGACTTCAGTTTAGCTCAGCTTCAAGTCGCCTCTCATCCAGAAGGTTCCCAGGGATTAGATGGATTCAGGGTCCCTCCAAGGCTCAATCTGTGGTCCCTGGGGCCGCCCTAAGTCAGTGTAAGAGTTTCCTTAGCCTCCTCTAGGGTTGTCGCCACCCTGTAGCTCCTGGTCTCACTGCTCATGGCACTCAGCCTCCTCACCCCTCCATGCGCCAGGCCCCACCTGCACCTCGCTACACTGCCCCAGGCCCTGGCCCGGTGTCCCCCTCAGAGGCTAGAGGCTAGCAGAGGGATGCGGAGGGACACGCTCTCTGTAAACCTCTGAGTTGCCATGGATAATGAGTCTCCCAGGCCTCACCTCCAGCCCCCCGTGGGCGGCAGTGCCCCTCCTGGGCATCGTATTCCTCCAGGTCACTGGTGCAGAGGCACAGGAAGGAGCCCTCCACGTTCTCACAGAGCGCAGCCCCACATACCGCCAGCATGAGCTCACACTCGTTCACGTCTGCCGGGCATGAGGACAGGCTTGTGGGCAGAGAAGAGGCAGCCCGTGCCCGCTGCCCCTGACTCCAGCCCACTGCCCCCAGAGAAGCAGCCTAGGCCTTGGGGAAGAAGCAACAGTGTAGATTTGCAGGGAGGAGAAACCCATGGACAGCGGGCATGGGAAGGAAGAGAGAAGGAGAGGAGTAGCAGCAGACGGTCACAGACGTGCACAAAGAGGAAGGGTTACCCCTCGGTGCACATTCTCCAAACATTCCACCTCTGAAGGCTCTGAGGCTTGAGGACACCTGCTGCCCTGCTGGCAGAGTACCGCTGTGCTTCCCTTTACCCGCCTGGCCCACGTGGCCCTGGGCAGGGAGTTGAAGTCTCCCTGTTCCTTGAAGCCTCCCTTGCCCACGTTCTGGGGACACACTGTGGAGCCATGTGACCAGGACCAGTTCAGGAGGAGGACCCCAGGACTTCCCTTCCCTGGCCCAGACTGTGGGTAGCCCACAGGCTCCTCACCCACACAGTCCCAGCCTGAGGGGGAGATCTCGAAGCCCTGGTCACAGAGGCAGCGGAAGGAGCCGTCCGTGTTGTCACAGAAGCCGTGACTCCCGCACATGGTGTCATTGGTGCACTCGTCTATGTCTGTGGGACAGTGGGAACCAGGGTGGTGGTGTGTGTGTGTGCATGCACTCTCGCACACACATACACGCTCTTGTTCTCTGCTGAGAATACTTATTTGGCTTATTACCACCAAGATCTGAGAAAAGCAGCCTCTCAACACAGGATAAGAAAACCCTAACATTCACAGTCCTGTGCCATTTTTCACATGCTCTGCTAGATGGAAAATATACAAACTACAATCAGCTGCAAAAAAATCATGTTTTCAGGAGAAAATCATGTCTAGCTCAATATGTGAAACATAGGTGTCCTCAGCCCTCTCTCCTCTCTCTCCTCCCTCCCTACTCACCAACGCAGTCTCCGTTTGGGGCCATGTGGAAGCCAGGCTGGCAGCCCAGGACACAGCGGTAGGAGCCAGGGCTGTTTTCACACCTCCAGGCCCCACACACTGGGTCTCCATAGTCCTCGCACTCGTTGATATCTGTCCCCAGAACCATGCCATGAGAGGGGACAGAGGTGTCCAGGTCACTGCTCTGGTCCCACAGGGTCATGCCCCACAATCTCTGGGGTTCTTGATCTGTTCCAGATTACTGTGCTCCTCCCAACCCAGCACATGAAGGTCAGGATGATTTCCCCTGACCCTTCAGCGCTGAACATATGGGAAGAAAACCGTCTGCTATTTAGGAAGCGGTGAGCGCCTAGCCTTCTGTGACACCGCGTTTCCTCCGCCGCCCCATCTGCCTCCCATCCCCACCAGCAGAGCACTGTACTTCTCTTTACAGGGAACCTTCAGCAGAGTGCATTACAGAGAGTTGTCTTCATATCTATATCCCTTGCTCAATTTCAAGATCGTCCATATCTGTCAATTTGTCCTAGCAAAAGACATTGAACATAGCAGGTGTTTAATAAATGTCTATTGAATCAATTTGGGCTTTAAGACTAGATTGTGCGTTCTGGCAGTACAAAGATCATGATTGTCTTCATTCTGTCATTCTTGGACAGCCCCTGAGCCCTGAGTCTTAATACATGCACTCTCCGTTGGACGCTTTATGTGTGGAAAGTGCTCTGCTCCACAGGAGCTGAGGACCAGGCAGGGTAGAGGTGGGCAGAGCCCTGTTCCCATCCCCCCAGGGCCCTTACCCACACACTCTCCACTCTCTGGGGCGGGCTGGAAGCCAGCGTCACACACACAGTTGAAGGAGCCCTCAGTGTTGACACAGTGCCCTCCCAGACACGGGTCTGTGGCGGCACACTCGTCCACATCTAGAGTAGAGATGGCTGTCAGCTGACCCAGCCATGGGTCCCGTCCCTGTTAGGGCCCTATGTAGCTTCCCCTGGGCCCTAAGTAGCCCACAGGAGGGTCAGGGAGTGGCTCAGGTAGGGAAGGGCTGGAAGCCAGAGGCCAGGCTGTGGGAGGTGGAGGGTCCCTGGAACTGGAGCTCTGTAAAGGGGAGAAGTGAGCCTCGGAGTCTGTGTGGGTGCATGCCTGCTGTCAATGTTGTGAGGAGGCCCTGGGGAGGGACTGAGTCCCTCCCTCCCTGAGCACCAGGCTCCCTTGCATCATTCCTCGCTTCCATCTTCTCCCCCCGGGGTGGGGCTGTGAGCACTGGCTCTCAGTATTGGTATTAAAAGGGACACCACTCTAGTCTTAGCCTCTAGCGCCCGTCCTCCTGGTCAGAAGAGGTGGCTGTGCTGGCTTCTCACCCTGGCAGCGGGTGCCCCGCTCTGTGCTGACGAAGCCGGGTGCGCACAGACAGAAGAAAGACCCGTGGCTGTTGAGGCACTCGCCATGGGGTGCGCAGTGCTCCTCCCCCACACACTCATTCACATCTGCAGGGAAAGATGGGCAGTGGGTGTCTGCTGGGGATGTACCTGCCTCCCCACACACTGATGCCCCCCACCCCCAGTAGGCCGACCTGGGCCACTCACCCTCACACACGGTGCCATTGGCCAGTTGGAAGCCCTGGGGACAAAGGCACTGGTAGGAGCCCACCATGTTCTTGCACTCGCCTCCCAGGCAGCTGCTCTGGGGGTATTCACACTCATCCACATCTGCAGGGCCACACAGGGGAGGAAGGCAGCCAATGGCAGCACCTCCCAAGGACAGGACCCAAGGGGGAGGTGTCCAGAGGACCTGTCACCTGCCTGCAGAGCTGGACCCACAGGGGCATCATGCCCTCATGAGGCAGCACAGCAGGGAGAAGCTCAGGAGCAACCCTTGGGGAGCAGGATGATGGCAGCTCCTCCCACCTCTTCCCCAGCAGCTCCCCACCTGCACCCGGCAGAGGGGCATCTTATTTGTGTCCTCTCCTGCATAGAGGCTCATACCTTCACAGGAGTTACCCAGGGGGCTGGGCCGGTAGCCACCACCGCAGTCCTTGCAGGAGAAGGAGCCAGCTGTGTTGGTGCAGACTCCCGAGGGGCAGACTCCCGGGAAGGCACACTCATCTAGGTCTGCAGACAGACAGCGTTCACCTGGGGACCTAGGAGGGCTCCCACTCTGGGCAATGCAGAAACCTCACCATGGCCTTCGCCTCCCTCTCTGAGCCCCTGAGGGGTTTCCTAAAACTCCCTCCCTAGAATGCTCTAGAGGTGGCCCTGTCCTCAGCTTCCCTCTTGTCTCTGTGACTCGCTTTTCCTCCTGTCCTCATGCTGAACTTGGGGATTATGACAATAGATGCTCTTACTGGGGCCAAGTCCATTTCTCTGGTCCTCTAGCCTAGCCTGGAGCCCCTCAGCATCAGCCCCAAACTGGGGACAAATGGAGTGTTCTTTGGGAAGTAAGATGGCCTATATTCTGTCCCCTTCTGCCACCGCCTCTCCAGGGTTACCTTCACAGGCAGTGCCATCTTCATTCACCCAGTACCCGCTCTCGCAGGCAGAGCAGGTGAAGGAGCCCTCCGTGTTGAGGCAGAGGCCTGCGGGGCATGAGGCCCGGCTGGCACACTCGTCCACATCTGAAACAGGGCATTGCCTTCTGTGTGGGACTCTGCAGGACAGACAGGCCAGGACAGCCAGAGACTGGCAGGTAGGCAGGGGTGGAGGAAGGGCAGGTCTAGTCAGGGATGTGTTGGGTCAGTGTGGATAGGGATGCGGGGCCGGGGGGAATTTGGGGTCTGGGGGGTGGTGTGCAGAGGGGAGGGAGCCATAAGCTGGATTGGCCTGTGGAGAGGGGTGCTCCAGCATCTCATCTCTGTACCTTGGCAGCCCTTCTCATCTGAGGTGACCTCATAGCCCTGCTCACAAGAGCATCTGAAGGAGCCTTCCAGGTTGGTGCACTTTCCATGGGCACAGACCCCAGGGGTCAGACACTCATTCACATCTGTGACAGAGAAGTCCAAGATGGGGGGCTGGCCCCCTTGCCATCCCGCAGCCCCAACTGGCAGGCTCCGAGTGTCTCAGTTATGAGGCCAGGTAACCAGTTTTCAGAGGGGCGGCAGGCCACCCTGGGGAGGCTATGAGGCCATGCTCTCTCCTCCCACCTAGGCAGGGCAGGGCAGGGCAGGGCAGGGCAGGGCATCCCATCCCCCAGGCTCACTTCAGCCCCAGCACTCTGCATGTGTCCATGCAGGGCCAGGTCCCCCAGCCCTGGGGCTGGTTTGGCTTCTCTGAGGACACTTGGAATAAGGTGTCCAAGATCCTTGACTCCCCTCATTGCGGGTGCCAGGAACCCTACATGACCTCCCACCTGCCAACCAGACAACCCACGATCCCAACCCAACAAGCAGTTTCCACGGGTGGGCAGGTCTCGTGGAGAGAGGCTGGTCATGCTGAGGCGGCTGCGTGGCAGCCTCCAGGGCCTGGGAAAGGTCTGCCCTCTCCAGAGGCTCAAAGTGTCTATTCAACACTCAGTCCCTCCTGGCATTCTGAACTCCGAGGCCTTCTTCCTGAGGGGGCTGCAAGCTGCCCTTCTGAGGGAGAAGCGCCCTGCTGTGCAGTGGGCGTGCTGCTTAGACACTGCTTTTGAGATACAGAAGAGCAGGAGGCCCCTCTTCCTTGGGAAATGCAGAACGGCCTGGCTCCATCCTAAGATCCTTAGGCTCCTCACTCCCACTACAGGATCCAGCTACAGAAGCTGCTGGGACTTTGGGCAGTCACTCCAGAACGGATATAGCCAAGGAGCAGAAAAGGGCCCCACCCTTGGTGATTCAGAAGGCAGAGCCCTGGCAACTCATGCCCAGTGTCATCTGGGAACCCAGCTGGATCACGGAGGACAACAGCCTCCAAGCCACCTTCCTCTGCCCACCTCTTCCCCTCTCTGTGTGTGGGCTCAACCAGAGGTCCCAAGGCCGAACGGCCTGCTCAGTGGCTTGGACAGCAGCCCTTACCTACACAGCTCCCACTCTGGCCCCGGTAGCCCTCCTCACAGGCCAGACAAGCGTAGGAGCCTGGGGAATTGACGCATCTCCCATCAGGGCAGGTACCCGGGTGACGGCATTCGTTGATATCTGTAAAACAGCAGCCCCTCCCTTGGTCATCTCTGGGAACATAGCGCATGGGTAGGTCTGTGACACAGCAAATCTTCATCCCTGCCCTTGGTTGGGGAGAGGATGGACAGATGAAAACTGGGAAAGAATGAGAGCTGTCCTATGTTCCCAACTCCATGTCCCACCCACCGTCCTGGACAAAAGAGGGAGATAAAAGAACTTAAAAATTAGAAAGGGAGACGCCCTGGGTGGGTGCAGTAGGCTGTGGTTACCACCCACTGTGGGAGGGCCAGAGGCTCCACTTTGTGAGCTGGGCTGTTTGGGATGGGCATTCATCTCTCCCCTGGCCTATTCTCAATCCTTTATAAGCAGTGACCATTACAGGGACCTGCTTGGCATAGCAGCTAACTGGATTGCCAGAGGCTCCAGAATAGATCACCAGAGGGCAGTGAAGGCAGCTTGGGCCTCCTTGCACCAGGAAACGAGGACCAAGGAGGAACTCCCAATCTTGGATATGGCCAAGACCAGCCCTGAGGCTGAGTGTAGACTGCAGGGTAGAGCTGGCAAAGCTTCTCTGCTGGAGAGCTGTCAGACACTTCTTCCAGCCAAGAACCATATAGGGATCCTGGCACTCACTCTGGCGAGATCCAGGAAAGTTAGCCAGAAGGGGTAAGCCTGGACATCAGTTGAACACCCAGGGGATGAGGGGACCCAGGAAGGGAGAGTGGCAACAGGAGGAAGAGGAAGCTAGTTCTCCCAGGAGCTGAGGGAGGGCTCTTCCCTATGTGACATATGATGGGCTTCATCATCAAGGCACCTAGGGGACCTGGACTAAGTTAGGGAGGTCCTGTCACAGGGACGGAACTCTGGGTCAGCACTGCAGGAGGACATTCTGCTCCTCTGCCCAGTACCAAGGCTCTGGCTCACTCTTCACGACAGGTCCATTGGCCAAGGAAAGAGGAGGGGTTCTTCTTCCTAAATGGGTAATTGCCATTCTCCTAGAGGAAGTCCACCAGCTTATGCAGATTTAGAAGCCCTACTGGCTGAGAGGAAGAAGCCTGTGTTGCACCCTCGGCCTACTTCCACATTTCCTCATCTGAGGTGACCTCATAACCCTGCTCACAAGAGCATCTGAAGGAGCCTTCCAGGTTGGTGCACTTTATGTGGGCACAGACCCCAGGGGTCAGACACTCATTCACATCTGTGACAGAGAAGTCCAAGATGGGGGACTGGCCATCTTGGAGCATCCACGGAGGAAATATGGAAGGCAGGCCGAGGGTCCAACACACGCTTTCTGCAGAGGGACTAATGCCAGCAGCTGTCACTGTAGGAGAGGACAAGGACCCTAAAGTGGAGGGTGAAAGTGACTTCTCTCCGAGGTTGTTTGGTCCCCGGAAGTCAGGACACATCAAAGCCCTCTGTCCCAGAAGACTGGGACCCTCTCAAGCCTAAAGCTTCCTCCTGAGGGTCCAGAAGAAGGAGACATCACCACAGGGCAGGTGTTTTTACAGGTGGGTCTCTGCAAGGAGATTCCCACATCTCCCATGTAATCTTGGGAACACTGAGATAAGGCTCATCACTGGCAAGAGGTCAGCCACAAGGCCCTACTTGAGTTGTGGTGACAACAGCCTTAACTATTCTAAGGGCTTCTGTAAAGACAGAGATGGAGAAAATGAAGGATCTAAGATGACTAACTGGCCACCCAAGAGACACAGGCCAGCACCATGGCCTGCTGGCCTTGGCCGAGGTACCTGAAGGAGGATGAGCAAAGCCACTGGGAATGAGAAGCAATCCCTGCTTCAGGGATGCTGGATGATCTCTTGCAGGATGAAGAGAACGAGATTGAGGCAAAGCTTCTCCTAAATCCACGCCAGGAAAAATGAAGTCTTTGGACCTTTCCCTCAGGGATCAGGCAATGTGGGAAGAGGATAAGGTTTGCCAGGAGCAAAGGGCCCTGACATCTGTCCTGCCCCAAACATGCTGGGCACATCTCTCAGAGGTGGTGTGTGTAATGTCTTAATGCTGGGCACTTGGGACACAGGTGGTATTCCAGCTCTCCACTTTCTGCACCATGGGAAGCTGGTACCTCCTGGTCCCTTGTGGTTGGGTGGGGCCACAAGACTAGTGTGGGCCAATGAACTGTGTGTGGGTGTGATATGGGTAATTTACGGACCAAACCATTTAATTATGAGCAACCCACCAGAGTGCTCTTTTGTTCTTCCATGGAGACTGGCTATTCCTTTCACCTACATCTCCAACGAGGAAACATGAGGCAGAGCCCCCAGCTGACACTTGATGGACATGTGGCACTGACGAGATACAAACTTGGTGGCTGCTGAGCGTGGAGGCTCACATCTGTAATCCCAGCACTTTGGGAGGCCAAGGCAGGCAGATCAGTCAGGAGTTCAAGACCAGCCTGGTCAACATGGTGAAACCCCATCTCTACTAAAAATACAAAAATTAGCCGGGGTGGTAATGGGAGCCTATAATCCCAGCTACTCGGGAGGCTGAGGCAGGAGAATCACTTGAACCCAGCAGGGAGAAGGTTGCAGTGAGC